AAGTTCGACGCTGGCAATATGACCAACTTTGCGCCTAGCTCCTTTGGAGGTAGTAGTGTTGGCAAGACTACCGAGTCCGGCGCTACATCTTCCCGCCCTGTACGCTATGGAGGTGGCGCGACCTTCAAGGATCGTCTCAATGAAGTGCGCTGGTCTGCCGGCCGCGTCGCTGGGAAAGCTATGTTCTGGCGGAAGTAGAGAACCTCTCTATCTTCGCTTAGAGATTTGTGTTTCCTTTTCTTTTCCTTTTTTAATTTTTGGCTGGAGTACATCTTTTTTGGAGGTCTGCTTTGAGATATCAGGTGTTTAGTCTTTGCTTTGTTTTCTTTTTATGATGGAAATATTGTCACGATATTGCTTTTGTTTTTCTCGGTTTGAGATATGTGGACATGTGTATTGATGGATGTACTTACGCTTTCTTTGGAATTGAATTATGCATTTGATGATATCTATGGTTTTGCTAGATTGTCTTTTTCATGGTGTCCCATGGCTTTTACACCTGAAGATGCAATCATCAAAGATCTGAATAAAAATGTATTTCACGCATAGCACCAAAACTCCCCAGCAGAAAACATCCCTCAAAGTACCCAGGCTCAATAGTATTTACAAAGAAGCTAACAAATACTTTCACAGCATAAAACCCCACGGAGCCAGCCATGAGACCATTCATCCAATCCATCTCATAATTCGTTTAACCGATTCCCATCAGCCTCATGAATCCTCGTAGCCCGTGGCCCCAACTCAACTGGAAACACCTTCTCCCTCTCGGGATAAACAGGGTAAACAAGATGCTGTTGCGAACTCGCCGCCGCAATCTCATCAAACATAGCCTCCTTCTGCCTCATATTCTTCCTATAGATCCGCCTCTGAAGAAGAATCGTAATAATCGCCGCTAGAAGACACGCACCCAGACCACCACCTATCCCCGTACTTATCGCTGTTGTATGTGACGCAGGACAGGTTGATCCGGAGGCGCAGGTACCAACGGAAGAATCTTCAGAATCGCCAATTTTGCTGCTCGTGCTGAGAGTAGATGTAGATGTAGATGCAGATGTAGGATCAGATGAACTGGAAGACGTTGACATTGAAACTGAGGACTCAGACGAAGCAAACGAAGACGAGACATAATCTGAAATCGATGTAACCGTCACATTAATCATCTGCCCCATGTCCAGCCTGACGGCATTATCGCAACAATCGGAGCCGTTGACGCTGCCGCACCAGAAACCGCGGCCTTGGACTGGACATGGGATTACGTAGAGTGTTGCGTCGGATGCTATATTAGCGGCGCAGAGGTTAACAATTAGACTCGAAAATTAAATGCCATCGTTGTTCAATCGCGAGAAGAACACAATCATCTCTTACCATCATCAGCAAGACCCGGACACTGCCCACTCTTCCATGTCGAATCCGTACAAGCACCCTGTCTTAATAGACCGCGGAAATTGGGATCCTGGATATAGCACACTCCGCCGGAGAGACAGATATCGTTTGGAGTTTCGTTGCTTTTTGCGAGCGAACAGCAGGGGCTATTTTCTTGAGATGGGAAGCAGGGTTGGAAGCTGGAGTCTGCTTCTTTGCCGCTTGTTAGGTAGCATTTTTGGTTGGCTATAACTGTCTTGAATATTGTTTGGAAAATCAACAGTTGGAGGATTTGGTGGATGGCTGACTTGGGCATTGCTTTTCTTTGGGGTCAAAAGAGAGATTATATGATATGGGATATAGGGAGTGTGTAAGATGGAAAGGATCTACTATTCTACTGTAGTTTGACCTTGTTAGTGTAGATGGGGGCTGAATTCTGAGACGACTTGATGGAGAGTTACATAGTAACTAGGGGATCTCATTGGTGATTTGAGGCGGTTAGTAGATTGTCAGGATTGGTGGAGGCTCGCAGATCCCAGTGCTAATTATGTTTTACCGACAGGCATAGCGCTAGGCCTGTGAAATAAAGGGGTATTCCGTATAAGAGATATCATCGCCAAGACGAATAAGCGCCAGGTTCTAACACCGAGGATATTTTTGGCGCTTGCCGAAACTACAGTGAAATTGAAATGCATTGGCTAGAAAATAATAGCTCGATGCGGTCGGTTAGTTAATTTAAATTAAACAGTGAAGTAATGAACTTTGAAGACACCGCCATTGATCTTTGTGCATTCTGGACTTTTCGTCTTACCTCCTAGAGAAGTCAAATCAAACGTAGAGAGATCTAGGGAACTCTCATCACTGTAGTCTGTGTACGTATTAGCACCAGCCAGTTAGTGAAAATATTAATGATGATTTTATAGATTGAAGGTTTACTTTCATCTCACCTCCCAAGGTTGAGATGATCAAACTATAAGTTAACCGAGAAATATTGAGACATAGTTATGACCCCCTCACCAACTTCTTTTCGTACTCATTGTCCAGCGTAAAATGCTTCCTCGTTCCTCCAAGTCTCCGCCTCATCATGTCTTTATGTCTGCCAAATGAACTGATTTATGCGATCGGTCAGTACTTATACATGTGGAACAACTCGAGCAAGTCTTACGTGCACGGAAAATTGAACGCCTCAGTCCAAACGGATAAATATTTCCACAACTGCTTCAACATTCAGCTTTACACTTTCAACATACATTGTTCCGGCCTTGGTATGGGCCGTGTCGACAGGATGCATGCCAATAGTTCGACGGATGATTGACTTGGGAGCCGACTTAGAAGAACCAGAAAACGAAACTGGCCATGCTCTCCTTCTATGTGCTATTAAAGCTTGCCTTTATCATCGACATATAGTTTTGAAGCAAGTTTGTTTCAATAACATTCCCGAAGGCTATGGGCGAATACTCCCAGCGGTGAACGAATGACTCGAGGTCTTCAGAATATCAAAGATCTGCAGGATATGATGAAGGTCTCACATAAGAACATCAAACACAATATCCGCTGCGAACAAATTATCAGCGTCGCACGGGAAGGCCAAAAAGCGATTCCTAGGCTATTGCTTGACAAGAGTATCGACATAAATCGCGGAGAGCACAAGAACCCCGCGCCACACAACAAAGCCATCAAATCCAGAGACGGGGATCCATTGCATATAATAATGAGCAGGAGAGTATCTCATGTGGGAGATAGAACAAGTTACGAGAGTAGCGATCCATTTGATCGGAAGAGGGCGCCGATCTAACAGCAGAGAATATTCGCCATCGAATTCTGCTACACATGGCTACGTTTTTCGGTTATGAGAGAGTGGTCTTTCCCGTGTAGAAAGTACCCTTTGCCCCGTCGTTGCATGACGGTTGGATAATGACGGGATTGCAAAAGAGACACGTTTCGAGGATACTTTTCCTTGTCTGACAAAACTTCACTGTATGTCTCACCCGAGCTCATCTCAAATCGCATTCGCGGACCTCCAGGCATCTGAAAGGCTTCCAAGGCCCGAGTTCGTTCATGGTCCAGCTGCGTTCATGGTCCAGGTGAATTCTCCGTCAATGATCCCCTGAGCTGAACCCCGGCCCTAAATCAATCCAGCTCGCCAGAATGAGACATATATCCTTTTCCCTCAATTTTTGTAACGGCAGCTCCCAAGGTGCGTTGCATTCCCATATTTTGAAAGCCTGGAGGTGGCTTGCTCTTGTTGGTACCTTTCGATAAAAGTGTCGATGAGATCAGAAAAATTAGACGTGTTCGTTCCAATGTGCATACAGCTTTCGGCGATCTCTTTCTCTTGGTGTAAATGTAACACTTGTTGCCGCCTAATCACTGCAAGCTGCTGTATGCGCAGACAGAGAACCGGTGGCCCACGACCAAACCCGCACATCGACGGATAGAAGTCCTGTTCTTTGGCAAATTTTGAACTGCTTTTCAGACACGTGTGCACCAGTGATTTTCGGTGAATTTAGAGGGAAAGCTATCACCTCGGCATATATCAAAGACTCAACAGGGATGCCAAAGGAAGGGCCGAAATAGAATCTCCTAACGGCAAAATGGAGATATACAAAATGGAACTGCATGTCTTTGTGGTCAAGCGAGTCGAAACAATTCCTGAGCTTGAAATGTGGAGTCGGTAAGCTGGTGTGTGTCCAGAGATGCAGCTGCAAGCAGGCATAGCAGAAGTAGTACTGCGACAAGTCACGACCGAGTCTGGTCAATAGAACAAATCGCGGTTCAAGCTCTGGACTTTCTGCATATCTGCAGGGAAAGCCTTCGACAAGAGCTCATTGCAGCTTCGGAAATTCATAAAGTCATGGCTGCAGTGTCAGGCAGGTGGCGTCAAGTGGGAGGGATATCCGGAAATAAGGCTCAACAAATTCGGTGGAAGATCCTCCAGTGTGTTCATACTGTGATTAATCCGAGCAGTGGTCACAGTGGCCTGAGAATAAGATGGACTCACCCTATTGCTCCTAGTCTATGGTCACCTTTTTTATGATTCCGCAATTCGTCATACTTCGAGAGTCTGCTATAAATTTTCTAAAGTCTCACTTTCATATGTTTGTTCTTAGCCTGAGGGTTAGGCGATGCAGCTGGAGGCTTGGAGTCCATACTACAATTCCCGCCCACTAGCAGGTAGAGAAATACAAGATTTATTGTTCATGAAGCCGTAAGTATCACTTCAAGTTAATCCTCAACCTGAAGGCAAAAAGTCCACGTATATTCAAAGCCATTTTGTCCTCCCAGAAGCAGAGAATGCGGGGAAGCCAACAACTCAGAATATACTTAGTGAGAAAGCCACAGAACTTAATAATGAGTGATCAGATAAAGGCTCTCAAAAACGTGATCGGGTAACTCGGATATCTAATACAACAGCGAGGGGTGAGCGCTAACAAATCGAAGGCCAAATTAGCAGGGGAACGGTCACTCGAGGTATAGGTTACTCCGAGGTACACTCCGAGCTACTCCCCGAGGTCCAGAGCTAGCACGTTTTGAATTACTAATAGGATAGAGGGGCTTCAACCGATTTCAAGTTGCTCTAAAATTAATACCCGCTTTCTTTGAATTCGATTTCAATTTATCGTGCGAGATCATTGACTATGTTCTCGGAAAAAGCAGCCCATGCGGTACCTGCTACTTCTGAAGCCACGGATCTAGCGCATATCACTGAAAATGAAGATCAGCCTGAACTACTATCTAGTATTCCCACAAGGAGTATCCTACGCGGATGCCTCCAGGTTCTAGGTGCATTTTTTATATTTTTCAACGTCTGGTTAGGCAACTCCCCTATGCATTGTTACTTCATCCAGCGACTAACTCCTCAAAAGGGGCCTAAGCTTCGCATTTGGATCCTTCCAAAGCTTTTATGGACTCACATACATTCAATCATCTACTGCATCAGACATAGCATGGATCGGCACAATCCAGTCATGGCTTCTAATTGTCGGCGGGCTACTATCTGGCCCGCTTTTCGACCTCGGCTACTACAAAGTGATGATATTTGTCGGAAGTTTCTTAGGCGTTATTGGTATGATGATGCTCAGTCTTGCAAGTACATACTATGCGATATTTTTGAGTCAAGGGGTATGCATGGGTCTCGGATTTGGGCTGCTTTATGTGCCCAGTATTGCATTGGTTAGCCGCTCATTCACGACCAGACGAGCTGTTGCTTTGGGCGTCTCAACCAGTGGCGCTCCTGCAGGTGGCATTATCTACACCGTTATGTTCAACCAGCTTATTTCAAAGTTGGGATTTCCTTGGACTGTTCGTTGCATGGGATTTGTCATGCTTGCACTTTTCTCTGCAGCTGCTGCCCTACTTCTGGTGCCAGAGAGGAATACCAAGAAACCCGAGAGAACTCAACGCAGGAGTCTGCTTGATACACAGGCGTTCAAGGATATACCATTTTGGAGTTTCACCGTCGCCAACTTTTTTCTTTACCTCGGTTATATCACGCCTTTCTATTACGTTCCAACTTACGCGGAAACGAAACTGGGAACATCGCGAACGTTGGCTTCTAATATCTTGATGATATCTCAGGCATGTTCGATCATCGGCCGTGTTGTACTGACCATCTTTGCTCACCATTATGGGTCAATGATCTCATGGATCTCGTGTGGCATATTGTCAGGTATACTCTGCATCAGCTGGATAAGCGCAGACAGCCTTGTTAAATTTATTCTATTTGCTTCTTTTTATGGTGAGACATTCCCCTTGATCTTTTATTGATATTCAATCTAATTTAAAATGCAGGTGGTATTTCCGGAGCTTTGATTCCACTTCCACCCAGCGTTTTCTCTCATGTCTGTCCTGACCCTAAGAGGCTTGGGACATGGCTTGGAATGGCACAGAGCCTGAGCAGTTTTGCAACCCTGTTGGGACCGCCCATAGCAGGCGCACTTGCTTCAATTGGCGCCAATGGCAGTGCTGATTTGAATTATCTCGGCATTCAGCTATTCAGCGGGATAACGATGGGCTTTGGGGCGCTACAGCTGACAGGTCTATGGTACCTACTCTACACAAAGAGAGGCAAGACGGGTCTTTTTTGAAAATGCAAGATGGCGTGATTCATGACTCACGATACACGATTCCGAGGGAAACTGTCCGAGGGAAATTGTCCGTTATGCTTAGCGTCTGTTCTGATTTGGCGTTGCATCATCGTTTCCCCGATAAAATCAAACCCGCATTGACAAATTAATGTCATATTTCACTCATAATTTGAAGTATTCTCTCCGTTGCTCTTGCAGTAATGATATAGTTCGGAGAAGCAGCCAATCAAGTCTTCCTGGGAGAACCCTCATCACGTGATCTCGGTGCTCTCATCGAATCATATCAACGTGAGTCATTGGCAAGAAACTGAGATAGGAATATCAACATTTAAAGCTAGACTGTTGTTCTCTTGTTCTCATTCTTCAAAAGGCAACAGTAGAAACAATTGCATTGCATCTCAATCATGGCAGCACTACGTCCCAAAGGACCTTTGGTCTCCTTCACTCCGGCCCTACTGCCGTCGAACAGAACAATCCCAGGCCGAACTATTTCCCTAGAGAAACTTGAACTCAAACACGCAAATGACCTCTTCGCCCTCACCGGCGGGGATGAATCCACCCCCAATGCACCCCTCTGGGACTACATGTTCGACGGCCCATACAGCGACGCAGACAAATTCAAAGCCAGCATCGCAACAAAGTCAACCTCAACCGATCCATTCTTCTTCGCAATCATCGACAAGCGAAAGACCCTTCCGACATTCGGAAAGGCAATTGGCTATCTATCATTGATGCGGATTGTGCCCGATCACTTGGGCATTGAAGTCGGGAATGTCATGTACTCGTCTGCTCTCCAACGGACGACTGGTGCTACAGAGGCTATCTATCTTATTTCCCAATATGCGTTCCATGACCTTGGCTATAGGCGGCTGGAGTGGAAGTGCCATGCATTGAATGAGCCATCTCGTCGGGCTGCTTCGCGTTTGGGATTTACTTATGAGGGGACCTTCCGGCAGCATATGATCGTTAAGGGGAGGAGCCGGGATACTGCTTGGTTTTCTATATTGAAGGATGATTGGGATGCTTCTTTGAAGGTCGCACTGGAGAAGTGGCTGGATGAGAAGAATTTCAAGGAGGATGGTAGCCAGGTTAAGACTTTGCAGGATTTGAGGCGCGAGAGTGCATAGATATAAGCTGTTGGGGTGCTTTCTTTTCCACTTATATACCGAGAATTCAATAGATCTGCTATCTGCTGTTGGAATCTTAGAGACAACTTCTAAAGCTTTGAATCCTTCTTCTCGCCCTTCATAATCTCCTCGACCACCTTGGCCGCCATCAAAGTCTCCTCATCCTTGCAGTGTCTTCCAGCTATCTGCAATCCCACCGGGGCGCCCTCATACCGCTCAGGGCCCTCATACTTCAGCCACTCCCTCTCATCAATTTCATCCCGAGGGATATACTTCTTATCCTGTTCGGACAACACATCCAACTTAGGGTCAACAGTGAGCCCGGACGGGAACACCGCAGAGGGCAAGTCCGCCAAATTCCAGATGGCAGTATAGTTCCAATACTGGGACTCGCCCATAACGGCTGCAGCTGCAGGATATGTCGGAGATAATATAAAGTCGACACCACGACGCTTAAGAAGAGCGTTGTATTCATCCTTGAAGATTTCTCGCTGTTCTTGTAGCTCCCAGGTTTCGGCGTGGGAGAGAGGCGAGGGACGACTGTAAGACAGGGCCCATTCTGTGAGAGGGCGTGCTGGTTCTCCCGATTCGCGCATGAGTTCACGCTGTTTGGCGCCGGCGTCGGGGTAGTATAGGGCAGACTGTAACTCTATCAGTAATCTCATCTTGCGAATGAAGGAAACTCATTGCTTACAATAACTTCCCAGCCATGCTTGTGCTTATATGGTTCCCAATCCACCACTTTAACCCCCGCAGCTGCCAACTTCTCCTTGGCGTACCCGAGGGCCCGAGTGATTGGGGGATGCGGCCGAACCCATCTGTGACATCAATTAGCACATTTCCAGTGGAACATAAGTTTGGCTCCCATCATACCCATCATCCCACATAATAGCAACAGTCATATTCCGAGTCGGAGGAACCGTCTTCCACGGCACAGGCATCAATGACGTCTCATGGTCCCAAGGCTCCTGTTCCAACACAGCTCGTTGGAACAGTTCTAGATCTTCAACTGAGCGACTCGCCATTGGTCCAACTACACCTCGAATGGTCTCCTGGCCCGATGAAGCGACTTTAATTCCTGTTCCGGGATTACGAAGTGTCGAGGGACGGAAACCATAGGCACCACAAAATGCCGCTGGACAACGAATTGATCCACCGATATCAGTGCCAATACCTAGCGGGGCACAGCGGAAGCCCATTGAAGCGCCTTCGCCACCTGATGATCCGCCTGGGGTCAGAGCGCGGTTGTATGGGTTGACAGTTGTGCCGGTGATGTTGTTGCTGCAGCACAGGTGCTAAAGTATAGTTAGCTACTGGAAGAAAAATCTTGGATATAGCCGTACCATCAACGACTGGGGCTGATTAGTGCGGACGTGGAAGACCGCACCGGCTTTGCCGAGTAGCTGGATGAGAAGGGCATCTTCTGTGGCGACCTTGTCGACCCTGTTCCCATAGTTAGTGGTGGCTTCAAATTAACTACGGGCTCCAAACAAACTGACCATGCAACATAACCTGTATTGCAAGTTCGATTCTTGAAAGATAAATGCTCTTTCACACTAATTGGAACACCGTGCTGTCAAATGGTTAATTTCTGATAGTTATCAATTCATTTGGATCGCCTACAAGTGGCCCGACTAGTCTCCCTGTACGTCGGTAATACTCATCAAGCTCTTTAGCACGAGCGATTGCCTCATCTGCCATGAACTCAGTTGCAAAGTTAAGCTGCGAGTAATACATTAGCAACCAAGCAAACAAAGCAGACTTCCACTATCTCACCAATTGATGACCCAGGACGGATCTTTTCAAGAACGCAACCACCACCTCTTCTGCAGTCATATTCCCCTTGCTCATTTCGGCCACTAGTGCAGTAGCTGACATATCGGTAATCTTCAGCTCGCGCTCACTCAGTAGCCCACTTTCCCTAGGAAACTCAACCACGCTCTTCTGGGAAACAGGCGGCAACCTGTCAGCAGGGAGAAGCCATTGCTTCGGAATGGAGTTCTGTAGAATATCTCTGCCCTTCTGGGCCTGTAGCTGCCATCGTTCGAGACTCATGTTGTGGATTGGAATGAAGTATGTGGATGGTTGTGGCGGTCAGGGATCAGATAGAGGAGAGAAACCACCGTCGTACAGCTCACATTCCCCGCACAGAATCCATTATACCCCATTTGGAAGGCTGTAGCTATCTCGGAATCGGAAGGAAAAGTTCCTACTCGAATGTTTGTCCTCGGCCATCCCCGCGTGTAAGAGTGGAGGATCTTATCTGTCTGCTTGATAGGGAATTGATCGCTGCGGAGTAATTCCGCTATCTTGTCACTTGCATTTGAGGTTATTCAGAAGTTTTGAATGGGGACAATTTGGGTGAACTTGAAGATAGATCTATGGTTTCAATAGCAATCCAGTCCAATCGTTGTTCTTTTCGTGCCATTATTCTCATGTAAGGAGGGCGCTGAATAAACTTCAAGCATTCAAGATTGCCTTTTTTATATTTGGTCGTTTTGATTTATCATCTCGAGATGGTTTGTGCCTTTATAGTCTTGTTATAGAGACCGTGTTGTATAGATCTTGGTAGGCTGTTTCCCGACTTTTTGGGGTGGGCGGATTTCACCCATCTCTGTCCTGACCTCTTGATGGGCCTTTTGATACATTCAAAACAGAGCTGCAGGGTCAAATAAATTTCTTAAGATGGAGAATCAAACCAAGAACGATCACTTTGATGGCCTGGTTGATGCATGCAAATTCCCTTGTAAATGATAGCTGCACGTGACCACGTGTCGCGTTCGACGCGATCCGCGGATCCTGTCTCCTCTTTTCAACAGACAAGCAGACTAAGGCGTCCCAATCTACTGGCAAGTCAAGGCAGAAGGCCTCACAAGCTACCTCCTACCATAATACTGCACCATGACTCAAGATCAAGTCGCCCAAGGCTCCGCGGCACCTTCGCCGCCACACGACCCCTCGCACGAAGAGCACCAGTACCTCAATCTTATTCGTGACATCCTCTCTCAGGGCGAGCACCGGCCCGACCGCACAGGCACCGGCACACAATCAATCTTCGCACCACCTCAACTCCGCTTCTCCCTCTCCAAGCCCAACCCAGAAGGTGGCGATCAAATCCCCGTCCTGCCTCTTCTCACCACAAAGCGAGTCTTCCTGCGGGCCGTGCTAGCTGAACTCCTCTGGTTTATCTCCGGCTGCACTTCATCGCTTCCCCTCTCCGAAGCCGGTATTAAGATCTGGGATGGAAACGGGAGCCGCGAGTTCTTGGATAAGGTTGGTCTCGGCCACCGCGAGGAAGGCGACCTGGGCCCCGTATACGGGTTCCAATGGCGGCACTTTGGTGCTCAATATGTCGATGCCAAAACCGATTACACCGGACAAGGCGTCGACCAGCTCAAGGACGTCGTGCACAAGCTCATTAACAATCCTTTTGATCGCCGTATCATCATGAGTGCCTGGAACCCCGCGGACCTGACAAAGATGGCTCTGCCACCATGCCACATGTTCGCCCAATTCTATGTCTCGTTCCCTCCTGGCATGAAGCTCGATGAGAAGACTGGTCGCCCAACAGAGAAGGGCACCCTCTCTTGTGTGCTCTACCAGAGATCCTGTGATGTGGGTCTTGGTGTGCCCTTCAATATCGCCTCCTACGCTCTTCTCACTCATATCCTTGCTCACGCTGCCGATCTCCACCCCGGCACCCTCATTCACACCATGGGCGATGCTCATGTCTACCTTGACCACGTTGATGCGCTTAATGAGCAGCTTACTCGGGAACCTACGGAATTCCCCGAGCTGCGCATTAAGCGTGATGACCGTGGAAGCGCAGTCGTCGATGGCTGGAAGGAGGATGAGTTCGAGGTCATTGGTTATAAGCCTCACAAGATCATCAAGATGAAGATGAGCGTTTAATGTTTATAGATTTCTGCGGTCTATCCGAGTTACGATATCTGTATGATACCAGTTATTCCAGTGTTTACCATATATTGTTGGCAGACATCATGGCAATGCATTCAATATCCGATTCTAATATGTACATCCTCATATCATTAATAAAGCTTAATGATAAATGAAAATTCAGATGCATCGTCTCACATCATGCAAATATGCCGCTGGGTGTATCATGCTGTGTATATGCTCCGAAATAAACAAGAAAAGAAGGGTAAAAAGACGAAATGCCCAAATGCATCACGAACTCTCGAGAACAACCCCAGCACCACGCAGCAACACAATCGTGTCACCCTGCTTAACCTTCCCAGCACCAATAGAATCCGAGAACTCCAAGAAATCCCCAGACTCAACGTGAAAGATGCGCAACTTAGCATCCTCACCACCAACACGATTATTCAAATTCTCCACCCTCAACTTCTTAGCCGCATCATCCAAAACACGACCAACCTTCCACCGCGAATCGAAATAAAAGTCCCCAGCCGGCGGCTCGGCAGCCTGCGTCTCCGCCGTCCCAACAGTATGCAAGTAAAGCCTCTTATCGGCCGGAACAGAAGCATCTCCCTTCGCAGAGCGCTTCAAAGTATTAAGCGCAACGGCACGCGCAGCAGGACTATTCGGCTTAGGCTTCGGCTTTGGCAAAAGAGTCCCACTAGCAGCCGCCTGTTGCTTATCGCGGCCCCAAGTACGAACGCGCGCAAACATCGACTTGATAGTATCATTAGCGCTAGCGCCATTGCTCTGCCTCGCGCCCAGCGGGGTAATCTTGGCGCAATCGTGTTCTTCGCGCAGACGGTGCTTGAGGCAGTATTGGTGGTTACATTGTGGGCAGCGAACGGCGGGGTCTTTGAAGGTGTTGATGAGGGTTTTGCATTGGACGTGGTAGCACTGCTCTGAATTGTAAATGTTTGGTTTTTCGGGGGCGGTGCGGTTTTCTTGGTTGTTGTTGGTGGCTGTACCGTTGCGACGGCGTGCCCATTCGCCTTCGCGTGGGCATTTGTGGGCTATTTCTGAGCGGTGTTCTAGGCAGTAGGTGCTGTGGCAGGATTCGCAGCGGAAGGGTAGGAAGTCTAGTTGGCCGCAGTATTCGTATTGGCAGTGGCGGCCGATTGATTCGAGGTCTGTGTCTGCCATTTGCGTGAAGGATTCATCTTTGGGTGAGGGATTGCGCCCTTTCGAAGCTGTTATGGGGGACATGGCTATGAGAGTTGTTTCGGCTTGGAAATGAACTTGGGACTTGCAAGGTATAGATGAGGCTCCGATGCTCGAAGGCCCTGGCACAATCGACAATCGCCATGTGACTAATGCGGAGAAGATTCCAGGCGGCTTACCTAAGCGCGGAGATATCGAATCGGACTTAGTGCATGTATAACAAACATCTGGGAATATCTTGGAGAAGGAAAGAAAGCAGGGAAAAGCGAACAGCCGCGGATTAGTAGTGTTCAAGATTGACTTAAAACAGAGTTCTATAAAAGTTGGCTTTTCCCGAAGTTCAACCTTGGAATCACTCTCCTCATGCTTTGTGAGTAGCGTAATGATTTTATGTACAACTGATTATGTATACACTCACATATATTCCGAGACCTTCATGAGGTATCATGTTTAGAGCCAATTAAATAGTTCGTCTCAATAGATTGACATTCTGACGCGGTATATAAGAAGCATCAATTTGAAAATAAAACATTTGTTTCCTCCAAGCTCCGACAAGCAGTCTCAGGAAGCAAACACCATGTCCACAATAGTCCAAAGAAAGTCGTCACCGAGAAAAACCAAAACGTTCCTCTGGGCTGTAAGGCATCTTCAAGCAACATAGAAGGAACAGCCTTTTTTCCCTTTCGTTAGCAACCAGTCACCACATAAATTAAGTCGGTAAACACACCTTGGAAATACCATACCGATTGGCATAGTGAAGACACATCAAAAGACTGGATCCAGTAGTCCGAACACGCAATGGGAAAACCTCAGCGTTGATGATATACTGAATAGAATTCCATCCTATTGCCCAACCAATTCCAACAAAATAGATGAAGACAATTGCCACAATAGCTGCGTTTTTAACAGATCCTGACTCATCACTGGAGGAAAATGACTCGACTGTGAGATAGATTGCAACATATAACATTGCAACCTCCTGTACAAGAATTCCGGATACCAATGATCGCTTTCGTCCAATATGGTCGATCAAGAGGACAGCACATATTAAAGATGCAATGAATTTGGCTGCGCCAAAGACTGCTGTTATGAACAGTTTCTCTGATTGGCCATTGATACCAAAGAGGGAGAATAACTCGGGTGCATATGCTGTAGGAGTGTGAGAATTAATACCTAAATGGGAAAATATCTCGCTTACTGGTGATGGAATTTGCTCCAGACCACTGGGCAAGAATCTGTGCCGAAACCACAAAAAGTAGGCTTTGCTGGTTTGACTTGATGGTCAAAAGTTCCATGATAGATTTGAACCAGGATTGTCTCATAGTCTGATTCTGGTCTGTCTCAAGTTCATCTTGAATTCCTTCAATCACAGTCATGATATCAGGGTGTAATGCAGGTAGGCTCCATAAACTTCCCAGTGCTTCCTTCGCTTTATGCCAATCTCCGATCTTGCACAAATATCGAGGACTCTCTTCGCACAAAAATGACGACAGGAACAAAATGCCTGCAACAATGATTTGTATACTCTGTGGAATGATCCACTGTTTGGCACTATCATTCGAGATATGCAACGAAGCCCCCAAAGCAGAAAAATACTAAACAGGTTAGCGACATCGACAATACACTCTGATCCACTTACCCCAATCATGATCCCAACGTATTCAGACATGGCAAACATGCTAACAAGCATACCTCGAGCATGAGCAGGTGCAATCTCCGCAAGGTATGTTGGTGCCACAACACCCGCCTGTCCAATTCCAAGTCCCATTATGCAGCGGCCCGCGTACACCTGCCCCAAATTCCCAGAGGCAGTTATAACAATAATGACACCAGTCATCCAAAGCAGGCAAAGCTGTCGCATCGACCACAGCAGTCCAATTCGTTCACAGAGGAAAAAGGCGATAAGGGCTCCGGGAATACTTCCAATATGGACCATAGACGTGATATTCGAGAGACGATTGGCTTGTTGAGATGAGTCGAGATAGCTGGCACGAATGTCGAATTCACGGATAAAGGATTTTTGCGCGACAGTCGTCGATATAATGCCCTCGTCGAGACCTGTTTCTTAGTATACTGGTTTGGTATGTAAGGATAAGTGGTGACTCACCTCTCGACATCCCCGATAGCCCAAAGCAAAATGCCGCACATATCAAGCTGAGGCTACAGCTTTGAAAAACTGAGCAGTATCGTCTGGACATCTTCATGGTGTGTCGTCGGCGTCAAAGTGCAAGACAATCAACGTTTCTGTGGCAAGACTGAAGATGAGAAGTGGAAGAAGACACTCTAGCCACCACATGTCCCACTTGGGATTTGTTTCCCATTTACTAATATCCTGGTCATTTTTATTATTATGGGCTTGTTAAGGGGAGGACTCGGTTGTCAAGTGTACTCCGTCCGATGGAATCCACTCTCAGCCCTACAGGGCTGAACTAAGGACAAGCTTTGGATTGTGTCTTGACATTCGACGAATCATGTTTAAGCTATTTAACGCTTTGTGCAGGAATAACGGCATAGAGAATCCTGCTGCCTGCGTGCCCGCTAGGTAAGATCCACACGTACGCAATTTCGTCCAGGTAAATCTGCCCACGAAAATGGTAGACCAGATTCTTTTTTTGCGCAAGGTACTCACTCATGAACTGATTGTATATTTCTCATGTAAATGTCTGAATGGAAGATATTAAGCTTGCTTGAACATACGATCAATCTCCGCAAGAGCCAGGTACCATACCATGCGCCATTTGAGCATACCAGCCGTTCTATAAGCGGAAACTTTTCACAAGGGCAAGATACATTTCCCACCCCCAAAGATTACACGTAGGAATACATGATAAAGCAGAAAGTGTAACAAAGGAGTTGAAACGATTGACACATGTCGGAGCTTGACTCTAGGTTGGGATACAGGTGTAGACAAAGATGTATTTCGATAAGCAAATTTTCTTTGCGATACTCATTGAGTCCAGGAATAGTGAATGCCAGATGAAGTGCAGGAGATGGTGAGATATTCATGGACTGCGCTTTGTTTGTTCTGCCCAACTGAGGTACGCGCCTATGTCTCAGGGTCCGCTTCATTAACGAGGATCCAGGCATCCACAGCTTTTCGTAATTTCAATGGCATATCTCGAGTCATTGGGTTCAACTTCGCTATCCGCCATGTAATATTGTCGAATTTCGTTTCGAACGTGAGTCTAGTTCCTTGATAGAAGTCTTTGTTGACAGCTGTCCAAGGATATCTGCAGTTGTTTGTCTTGAATTCCTCGCTCAAGCTGTCCGCATCGATGTCATCAATGTTACCCTGAATCAATGTTGAGAGTTTCATATCTCTTTCATCAAATGAAATTGAATCCTCAAAGGTGATCCGTTGGTTTCCATTTCTTGCAATTTCCACAGTAATCATTCCAGAGTGCAGCGAACGCTTCGAAATAGTCTCGTGGTATTCCCACTTGGCCACTGGATGGAGCCTTCAATCTCTGTCCCTTGTTGCTCTCAGAGCTCCCATTGCTATCGGTGGCTGCCACTAACCGTTGACTTCCGGCTTCTTTGCGGGCCTCATCGTTTTGCGCGCAGGTGGATTTTGAGAAGCGCGCGTAGCGTCTTGTCAGACACATCGCTGATCGTGCGGCCGAGTAGTGTGGGCTCGAGCACTTCTTCTCTAATAGGCATGATGATCTATCTAAGTCGTGGGTTGGTTTCGTACGAAGTTGGTACACATGACGGAGCGATCAGTGTATGATTTTGCGCGTGGACCCCGACGCATGGGGACGCAAATCAACGTTGAAGTCGATTACAACTTACAACTGACGCATTACAAATAATGGCAAGCGTGCGATGTGCCAAGTCATATTGCATTTACACCTGTTTCCCTATATTTCCTATATCTGATTGCCCTTATTTCTGCTTTAGTGACGTTATGTCAACGACACCTGAGCTATTACTAGGTGAATCTTGTAAGCCCCAGTATCATAGTGGCTCCTTTGTCTCATGAAGCATTTTCGTCTGACCTGTCAGTGGATCATTCGACGATTTTTATAAACCATCGATTGACTGACACTAGGACGAAGTTCGGTAACTTAATAAATAGTGATACGCATGTATACTAATCATTGGCAACACTGGCAACGGAAACTTTTCAACCCAAAAAGAGTTTAATCAAGTAGATGGACGAACAAACTAAACTACTAACTAGATAGGGGCGGGGGAAAAGCGACAAAAAGGAAGAACAAAAAAGAAATAATAGGCCCGAGCCGCGGATCGAACGCGGGACCTCGCGCAGGAGTGCTTAGGTTTTGGATACCCTAAGCGCGAATCATACCACTAGACCACCCGGGCTATTAATGAAGTTTCTGTTCATATTTGACATCTTGAGCTAGCAAGAGTTGCTGTTTGAATTTGATTACTTTTAGTCGGCAGTCTATTTAGTGTATCGACATGTATTTAATTTTAAACCTTTATGGACTTATTCTTATTGAATGCTAAACACTTTAATAATTTTCCCTTCATCTATTCATAAGGACTTCCCATAAATTATTCATTTAGCCTCTAAGCATTGGCTTTGTTCACGAAATCCAGCCTCAGTCTCCTCGTGTTTACTATTGCCAAGCAATAACTATTATCCTGATAGGAGCCTAAGTCCCGAAAGACTCTGCCGCGATTATTGGGGAGAGCCCCGCTGTTGTAGAAACCGTTCTATATTCATCGCTAATAGACTGTGGCTATTTGCGAAGCTACCGTGGGCGTCCCACGAGCGAGTTGCATAAACTTCTCTCCGCTAGTAATGCACTATCAAAGCATTATGACAGTTCATGTCTATATTCTCTGATTGCCTGCTAATAGTCGAGCTCCAAAAAAATGCCGCGTAGCCGTATTATTCAAAATATTACCGAATCAGCGAACTCATTGTGGTATTGCAACCTAACGCTGCCAAAATTGCTGCAGACAGTTTAAGATAGCGATTAGCGTGGGTCCATGTTCTAGTTTCTCTTGCGTTAGTAACCCTTGGGTCAGCCCGTGGGGGAGATAAAAAAAAATACGTATTGTCTACAAAGCCAAACGTTTATGCTACTTAGTATTCGCAGACCTCTCATATAGATTGGACTAACCTTTACTTCCATGCTAATCAACAATCGGTCTGGCGTCGTCTTATCTAACGCCATCTAAGAGTCGAGAAATAAAGTTAATATATCTATACCATACACCATGTACGATAAATTTGAACCGTTTCGCAGTCTTTTGAATATCCAGCACATGCTCAATTAGTGACAGCTTCTTAGGCTAATACTCTGCTTTTCTTTTTAGGTAAGAGATACCTAAAAGCATGTGTAATTAACTAGAGCGACAGATGGGACTGGGGAATACTTTCCTACCTGTGCGAAGGCGCTTGCTATTAGCAAAGTAAGCGTACAAAGCCACACCACTACTAGAGGCAGACTATAGTAAGTATAAAAGTGAGTATGGACTTATCATATCATGCTAAGTTCCTTGTCCTATACTTTAAGTAGTATATGTCGTAATATATTAAGGGGCACCGCGAATAAGTTTACCGCAAGATCTTCTGAAGAACACAAAATAGCAGGCAAAATGACCAAAAGACTCATAATGTCAATAATTGAAGAATCACTCATATAACAGCCCGGGTGGTCTAGTGGTATGATTCGCGCTTAGGGTATCCAAAACCTAAGCACTCCTGCGCGAGGTCCCGCGTTCGATCCGCGGCTCGGGCCGTTACTTTTTTAACTCCTTCCTGTATTTTTATCCTCAATAACATAACAGATACTCGTGTAATGGATATCAAATAAAGCGAGATTTTTTTGGAGACATAAATGCATTCATTCATCATAGTGCAAGAAATTTCCGGTCCACAGGAGGACCCGCGGGCACTCTTAAGCCCAGGAGTCTATCGAGATTTTCTTTACACGCCGGAGTTTCACGATCGAGTATACAATTCTCGGATCAGAACATGAGTACATAAGAGCGGTATCCAACAACCTCAGCTGCCACGGTTGGAGGTAATCAGATGAAGAGACTCAACCGTCTCCTTATAACCAAGGAAGAGGAACCCTTGATTCGAAGAGCTTGCTCCCGCTGTCGGTCAAATAATTAGCCAATTGGGTTGCATATCTCACATACAACATGGTAGGAGTAGCGTTCTGGGGGCTTTTATTGCTATAGTTTTGGGGGAGGAACTTATAATAGAGATGAGCGAGGTATGGGATGATTAGCACTGCTTCAGACTCCTAAACTCTGCACAAATTGAAGATATTTGGTTATTTATTTTAGGCCTATTGGCAACAACTGAGAAGCCACCTTGCTCCAGGTAGTATTACCGCAGGGACAGAAGGGGCTTTACTCAGATATTACATTAACTTATCTTGGTTGCTCTGTTCCTGTCAAACTTGGGATTTATAGCGGTACTTCCTTCCGCAATCTCCCTTTGAGACGAAATCATAGTCAATGGTATTCCTATTCAAAATATTGGCTTAAGTAGGCTTTCTTTGATTGTCTTTCGCTATTAACAAGCGCGCTAGAGCTTATGGGCATGTAATAACGGCGGATTGGGATACTTTTAGTATACAAGGATTAGGTTTAATATTGGAGCTACTCTAACGAGCAAAGGCTCCGTGGCTCTTTTAGTAGCCTACGTATAGTACAAATAGACTGCAAAAGCGATTATATGGATGTACTCCGTCCATACTTGTCTTGCACCTACGCGCATGTATGATGCGCCCCATCCATCAAAATCTCGCTCCACAGTATTTGCCAAGACGCTAATAAGCGAGTAGCGGTGTGAAAAAGAAAATGGATCTACGTATTTGTCCAATCACATTGGACTATAATACTCCATTTTCGCTTGGGCTTCGGATAATCTATTATTCCACTTAATCTTGAGTCAACGTCTAACAGACCGACCTTTTCAGAGGAGCAAAATGCAAAATGCAAAATGACAGGCCCGAGCCGCGGATTGAACGCGGGACCTCGCGCATATAAGCTTAGGTGTTTGAATACCCTAAGCGCGAATCATACCACTAGACCACCCGGGCTGTTATGTGGAAGGCGGCTCAATCCTTGAATACACTAAGTCATTGTGCATTCTGGAGGGGGTTGTGATGTCAAGGTGTTGCGA